GTGGGTGGGTGTGTGTGTATGTGGGGGGGTTGTGTGTATGTGGGGGGAGGGTGTGTGAGGGGGTGTGGGGAGGGTGAGTGAGGGGTGTGTGTGTGGGGGTGGGAGGGTGTGTGAGGGAGGTGGGTGTGTGTGTATGTGGCGGGGGTGTGTGAGGGTGTGTGAGGTAGGCGTGTGTGTGTATGTGGGGGGGGGTGTGTGTATGTGGGGGGAGGGTGTGTAAGGGGGTGTGGGGAGGGTGAGTGTGGGTGTGTGTATGTGGGTGGGGGCGGGGCATGTATGTGACGTATATGTGGGCGGGGTGTATGTTCCTCACCTGCAGCTGCTCCGGCAGTTGGGATCACGTGGCGAGCGGTCGCAGGAAGTGACACCATAAGCGGAGGCGGAAGTGACGGCGAGTGAAGATGGCGGCGCTGGTGGCGGAGGAGCTGGTGGCCGAGGCCGAGCGCTTGGTCCGGGTGGACCGGCCCCTGGAGTTGGAGGTGGACCTGGGTAACCTGACGGCGCTGGATACCAACCCGCTGAATTCGAACTTGTGCCGGCAGGAGGCCGAGGCTTGGCTGCGCTCCCTAGCCCGGGACAACACGCAGCTGCTGCTCAATGCCGTCTGGCAGCTGCCGAGCGAGAAGCTCCAGGAGGGGATCGTGGCCTTGCTGCCCCCGCCCAGTACCCTCATCCCCCGGGAAAAAGCGGTGCCCAAAGCCCGACCGCCTACCCGCTGGGAGCAATTCGCCAAACTCAAGGGCATCCGGAAGAAAAAGAAGAGCAACTTGGTGTGGGACGAGAGCAGGAAAGAGTGGCGCCGCCGCTGGGGCTATCAGAGAGCTAACGATGAGACCAAAGAGTGGGTTCTGGAAGTACCCGACTCCGCCGACCCCACTGAGGATCAGTTCGCCAAACGTGTCGCGGCTAAGAAAGAGAGAGTGGCCAAGAACGAGCTGAACAGGCTGCGGAACATCGCCAGGGCTCAGAAGCACAAAGTGCCCGGTGTAGGTCTGGCCCCCACCCAGCAACGCAGCAAAGCCGAGCTCAGCAAAGCCATTCGCGTGGCGAGAACCTCCACCGCTTCGGTTGGCAAGTTTCAGGACAAGCTCCCCAAGGAACAGGAGGCGAGGAATACCGGTAAGAAGAGGAAGTTCCAGCCCATCATCGGAGACTTCTCGGCGGAGAAGCAGAAGCAGCTAGACCTTCTCAATGTTATGTCCAGCAAGAAACCCAAACTGGATCTCACGAAGGCTGTCAATAGACAACTTCGAGAAGACGATCAGGAGCAGGCGGCAAAACGAAAGAAAATGCGGCCAAAGGGCAGGAAAGGAGGGAAAAATCACAATCGCAATAATAAGGGAAAAGGTCAACATCGGAAATCGGGGATGAAACAGCAAGGGAAGAGAAAATGAGCCATATTGAACTGTTGTTAAATACTGTACTCTTGATTTCAAAGAACATTCTAGTTTTGAGAGGACCTACCTTGTTTCTTTATTAATTGTGGCCTGATAATTTCTTATGTTCTGACAGTTTTGTTTTTCATGAACTTAAAATAAAGTGTTTTGTATTTCTTTTGCTATGTGCAGCTGAGTAACTATATATGACAGGATTTGTGCAGAGTCAGCTTAAATTGTACCCATGGCCAATCGTTTGTATGGCTCAAAACTCATTATCAAAATTGTCCAGCCAGCAATCCTGTTGAATGCTTTGCTTTGAAAGGGATTCATTGAAATTATTTTACCTTGTAAGGCACTGCATTATCCTAGAATCCCTAATGTGGAAACAGGCCCTTCGGCCCAACAAGTCCATGCCAACCCCTGGAGCAGCCCACCCAGACCCATCCCCCTATAACCCACACACCCCTGAACACTATGGGCAATTTAGCATGGCCAATCCACCTAGCCTGCACATCTTGGACTGTGGGGGGAAACCAGAGCACCCAAAGGAAACCCACGCAGACACGGGGAGAATGTGCAAACTCCGCACAGACAGTCATCCAAGGCTGGAATCAAACCCGGGTCCCTGGTGCTGTGAGGCTGCAGTGCTAACCACTGAGCCACCGTGCTGCCCGTATGATTAACAACTCCACTAAATGTTGTTAACATTTGAAACCATAGAGTATGTAAGGAAAGCACCAAACCTCTTTCGATGTGAGTTGGCAGCTCAGTTCCAGTGTTGAGTGGCCTTTTGTCCTCCGGTTAATTGTATCTATGGTTATTTGAAAATACTCACAGTTGACAACTTAACTCTCCTCAAAATAGGGGAACAAATTACTACAGATGCTGGAATCTGTAACTGAAAAAAATAAAATGCTGGAGATCATAGTGGGTCAGGCAGCATCCATAGAGACAGAGCAAGTTAACATTTCAAATCCAGTGCCTCAAGATAGAGTCTCTTTCTCTGGAAATCCATTCCATGAGTTTATAGGTTATGATTTCTATCTCAGACAAATAGAAAGGAAGAACTTGTATTTCTGTAGTGCCTCCACATATCTTTGGATCAAAACCAATATATTGTTTTTAAAAAACTGAAAAAACTGTGGATGCTGTAAATTAGAAACCAAAACAGAAATTGCTGGAAAAGCTCAGTTGGTCTGGCAACACCTGTGAAGAGAAGTTGGTGTTAACATTTGGGTCCTGTGACACTTCCTCAGAACTCCAGGACCAAAAGGTTAACACTGATTTCACAGGTGCTGCCAGACCTACTGAGCTTTTCCAGCAATTTCTGTTTTTGATAGTATTTAAGAAATTGTCTTCACCAGTACTGACTGTAGACTGTAGTGTACTATAAAAGTACTCCCGTTACTAAACTTGACTATAACGTATCAACTGTTTTCATAAACTGTTTTATTTATCGCTGCAATACCTCATTTGGAGTTTGGGATTTTTGTTTTACACAAATTGCCTACGTAGCTGAGTATGCAAATAATATATTCACTGTAAAGCCCCTTATAATACCAAACTTTTAAAGGATAGTGAGGCAAGTCTTGAAATTTTCAGTTCAGTTTTCAATTCAGTTACTCCTGAATTGTATCCTTTGGTGGTCGACAGAAACATATTTATAAAGCATGAACTGCAGTCTGGAGTTAAAATATTTTGAAGCGCAGCAAGTTTTTTTTCTATAAATTATACCGTATGGAAACTTAAGAACTATAGATAATGTAAAGTGACAAAATACCAGAATACTGTTTCAAAATTAACAGCACACCAGAAAAAAGGTAGAGTTGTCCACTTAATTAATATGGTTCCGTTTAATTTCACACCTGACTCCCTGGTTTACCATGGTTTACATCTTTTCAATTTTCTAACATTTTCCTTGTTAACCATTTACACAAACTTTTTTCCTTAATGGGATTATAAGTAGGTGAAAGAGCAGACCATTTGAGCCAGCATGGAAAATGAGTGCAATCTTCAGATCTCGGTGACTGGGAAGTTTGATGAATGGGAAGGGAAATGTTTGTTATCTGCCCTTTCCATGCAGTAACCATGGGGTCTCGCTCCACTACAGGGAGAGGCATTGGTTAGTTTCTGGTAAACAGTTGAGATCCACTGTTTTCTTAAAATTTAACATAGCATTCAAATTGTGGGTAAAGTTAAAATATGTAAAATATGTCAAAGTAAATAAGTGATTAATTAAATAATTAAAACTCATTAAGAACGGTAGGACAGGTGATGTGTGAAAACTACAATATGTGGGAGTTCCTGGATACCCTTGTGATCTAGGGCAAGCATCACTGGAGTAAGTTAATTTGATTTATTATTGTCATGTATCAAGATTTGGTAAAAAGTATTGTTTTGCATGCTAACCAGACAAATCATACCTAACATAAATACATCAGGGAAACAGAACAGAATGCAGAGTATAATGGTATAGCTGCAGAGAAAGATCAACAGTAATATATGAGAGGTCCGTTCATAGATGTTTGAGCAACTATAGCTGAGATTTTGGACACTAAAGCAGGAAGGGGGAAGGTACCTTGATTCTTTTTCTCAGGAAGCAGTCACATCATTTATGATAGGGTCTTCTGACTTGGGAAGTGGCCAGGGAGTTTAACTCTTGAGTGTGGCAGGTAAGGGAACCAAGCATAGGCGTTCAGGAGTGTCAATCTCTGAAAGTATTCATTAGAATCAGCTAGTTTGGCTAACCAACAGAAAGCAGAGGGTCAAGATAAATAGGTCTTTTTTTCTAATTGGCAAGACGTAACTAGTGAGTGCCACAGAGTTCGGTCCTCGGGTCCCAACTATTCACAATCTATATTAATGAATTGGATGTGGGGATAGAAAGTAAGATAACCAAATCTGCAGATGACACAAATTGGTGGGAAAGCAAGTTGCAATGAAGAAATAAGAAATTTATATATGGATATGTTGGGCGAATAGGCCAAAATTTGGCAGATGAAATTTAATGTAGATAAGTGTGAGGTTATCCATTTTGGATGAAGTAATAGACAACTTACTATCTAAATGGGAAGAAACTTTGAAGTGTTTTGGCGCAAAGGGATCTGGGTGTCCTTATGCACCAATCACAGAAAACTAATATGCAGATACAGTAGGCAATAGGTGAGTGGAATTTTGGCATTTATCGCTAAAGGAATATAGCGTGAAAGTGGGGAAGTGTTGCTGCAACTGTACAAGGTCAGATGTCACATGACACCAGGTTATAGTCAAACAAGTTTATTTGCAATCACAAGCTTTCGGAGCAGATTAGGTCTATACGCTCTGCAGTTTAGAAGAATGACAGGAGATCTAATTGATGTTTATGAGATGCTAAGTGGAATTGACAGAGAAGATGTTTCCCCTTGTGGGGCAATATAGAATGAGAGGTCATAGTTTTAGGATAAGGGGTAACAGATTTAAAACAGCAATAACTTCTCTCAGAGGGTCATGAATCTATGGAATTTGCTCCCCCAGAGTGCAGTGGATGCTGGAACATGGAGTAAATTTAAGGAGGAGTTAGATTTTTTGTTAGCATTGGGTTGAAGAGTTACGGAGAGCAGGCAGGAAAGTGGAGTTGAGGCTGAGATGAGATCAGCCATGATCTTATCACATGGTGGAGCAGGCTCAAGGGGCTGAATTGCCTACTCCTGATCGTAGGTCTTGTGTTCTTATTTTCTGTGTAGAGATTACAAAGGCTAGGCACCAAATTTAAAAATCAAGACCCCAAAGGTTACAAACTCTGGATTATTAACTGGGCAGTGTGCAAATTGGTATACGGTGCATAAAATTAGAGAGATGAATATATAGTTCAAAGACTTATGTGGGAGAAGTGCATTCTGGTTCATGGTTCATTGACACTAGTACTGGGGCAAATGCGAGCTGTATCATTGGAATGGTCTGTACCAGAATTGTACTCCGACCATTCCAAATGACATTTCTCAGAGGTAGAGAGGGTTTTAAACAAAATTATTGGGGTTATGGGATAAAATTTGGAGGGATGTGATATATCAAAGAGTAAAGGCAAGACAGGAGAGGGAAATAGTAATGTGAGAAATGAGGATCAGAGAATGGCAAGAAGGGATTGAGAGAAAAAAAGTAGGAATACACCAATGCTCAAGATTAGATTTAAAAAATGGTAGCAAAGACAAAACTAAAATCTCCAATTGAACGTACATAGCATTCCTAACAAAGTAAATACATTTATAGTGCATGTTGAAGTAAAAACCAATGAATTGATAGCTAAAACAGAGATGTAGCTGCAGAATGACCAGGCTTGTATCTTGAATGTTAACATTCAAGAAGATTAGGATACAGACAGTAACTGGTTTGCAAATAGGTTCTCTTCTTGAGTCCGTTTGCAAGTTGATTTGTATGTATGTCAGAACACAATGCAGAACAATATAAAATAGCCGTTCATAAGTAGAAGGAAGTGTTGGTATGTCAGATCTTTAAAATTAATACAACCCTATATGGGATTGCATTCGTAAATCAGATGTTTATAAGTCGAGGATCACCTGTGTTAGGTAAAGGTGGAGGGGTAGCTCTGTTAACCAATGATGATATCTGTGCAGGAATAAGAGATCACTTGATTTAGGAAATTAGGACATAGAATCTCTTTGGGTGGACATCTAGAATAGTAGGAGAAGGAAGTCAGTAGTGGGGTTGGTCAACAACCCACCATCCCCTGACAATAACCACAGTGTAGAACAAAGCATATAAAAAGAAATGTTGGGAGATTGTGGTAAGGGGATGGCAATAATATTGGGAGAGTTTAGATATAAACAGGAAAAAATCAGATTGGTAATAGTAGCTTGGATGATGAGTTCATAAACATCATCTCGAAATCATTCTAAAGCAATGTTTCTCAACCAGCAGGATGTGTCCTACCTGTAGTCATATCTTTATGAACAAGTCTTCTCTGCAATGACAACTATTAGAACCGTCTTCAACTTGAAACAGCTCTTTTCTGTTTCAAACATTAAACTGCTCGTGTGACGCCCTTTTCAAAAAGGGAGGGAGGCAAAGGTGGGTAATTATAGGCTGATTAACCTGGAAAAGTATTGGATTCTATTATTGAGGAATTAATAGCAGAACATTTGGAAAATCATAATCCAATCAGACAGAGTCAGCACAGCTTCATAAAAGGGAGATCATGCCTGTCAAATATACTAGAGTTTTTTGAGGAAGTCTCAACCAGAATGGACTTCCAGAAGGCCTCTGACACCTCACAAAAGGTAAATCATAAGAGCCCCTTGTATTGGAGGTTGTATATTGACATTGATAGAGAATTGGCTCATGGGCAGGAAACAATGAGAGAGGATAAGGGTTTCTGGTGACCTGTTAACAGTGGGGTTCGACAAGGATCAGTGCTGGAACCATAACTGCTTACAATATGTATCAAAGCCTTGGAGGAAGAACGTGAATGTACAGTAGCCAATTTTGCAGATGATACTAAAATAGGTGGAAAAGCCGGCTACGAGAAGGATACAAACAGTTTACAGAAAGATGTTGACAAGTTAAGTAAGTAAGCAAAATTTTGGCAAATAGAGTGTTACGTGGGAAAATGTGAAGTAGTTCATTTTGGAAGGGAGAACAGAAGAACAGAATATTGTTTAAATGGAGAAAAACTGCAGAAAGTTGAAACGCGAAAGGGACTCAAGGGGACTTGTGCATGAAACACAGAAAGCTAGCACACAGGTGCAGCAGGGAATCTGGAAGTCTAATGGAATGTTGGCCCTTTATTTTAAGGGTTTGGAGTATAAGAGTAGGAAAGGCTTACTGCAACTGTACAAGATACTGGTGAGACCATATCTGGAGTACTGTGAGCAGTTTTGGTCCCTTATTTAAGAAAATATAATTTCATTGGAGGCAGTTCAGAGAAGGCTCACAAGGCTGATTCCAGATATGGAAGGATTGTCTTATGAGCAAATGTTGAACAGGTTGGGGCTGTACTCTCTGGAGTTTAGAAGAATGAGATGATCTCATTGAAACATATAGGATTCTTAAGGGGCTTGGTAGAGTAAATGTGAAGAGGTTGTTTCCCCTCATGGCAGAGTCCAGGACAGAAAGCATAGTCTCAGAATAAAGAAGTGCCAATTTAAGACTATAATGGGGAGAGATTTCTTCTCTAAGAAGGTTGTCTTTGAACTCCTTGCTACAGAGAGCTGTGGGAGCAGGGTTGTTCTGTATATTTAAGCCTAAGATAAATTCTTGATCAGTCCAGGAATCAGGGGTTATGGGGAAAATGCAGAAAAGTGGATGTGAGGAACGTGTATCAGCCATGATCCTATTGAATGGTGGAACAGGCTCAAGAGGCTGAACAGCCTGCTCCTGTTCCTATTTCTTATGGTCTTCGTGGCCAAGAATTGACAAGCTTGCCAATGGAATGCAACCACAAGCATCATCATTTCATTTCGTTTGGTTTTTGCAATTAAGCAATAAAACATATTCTCAGAAAAATCATTGCAATTTTTTAATGTCTTTAAAATTTTCGATTAATCGTTAAAACTAAAATGCAAAGAAGTGCACGAAAATGTGAAAACCTCTCAAAGACCTGATATAGCCAAGCCAAGTGGAGCGGCCGAGGCAAACAAAAACAGAAATTGCTGGAGAAACTCGGGAGGTCTGACAGCATCCGTGGAGAGAGAATCAGTACTCAAGAACGGTCAGTGGACTGGAAAGGTTAACTTTGTACAGACGCTGCCAGACCTGTTGAGTTTGACCAGCAATTTCAGTTTGTGTTTGTTTCAGATCTCCCGCATCAGCTGCTATTTGTTTTATTTAAGTCGAGTGGGCTCCTGCTTTAAAATTCTGTGCTTTTGGTTTGTTCTGTGCTTTTCTGGATATCAATAAACGTTGCTGGACTTAAAAAGAAACGCCACAATAGGACTGAGGAAATGTTTATTTTGTGGGAAATTTAGTGTTCCCATCCCAGAGTTCTCCTCTGTCTGAAAGACATGGCAGGTCGAGACAGAGTTACCCAGTTGTTGAAGCAGCTGCAACGGGCGTCGTAAGTGAGCAAATCAAAAGGAAATAACAGTTTCTCTTTAGTAGAATGTCAGTGCATCCGATCTTTCCGTTGTTTAGATGCATTTGCCAATAGCATTGAGCTGTTTGTCGATCAGTGTTTTGAGTGTCAGTGTGTCTCTATGGATCAGGCCGCCACTGAATTAGCAATCAATCCGGAGCAGACCGAGCCCTTAGCCAGTGCTAGCAACAAGGCCAGCAAATTATATCTGTCGGTCCTCAAGGACGCCGCCGGCTTGGGAATGTTCTCCAGCAATATTCCCTGTGACTGCAGTCACTCGGCATGAGCCACACTTGCAGCGTTTGCTGGAAATCCTTGTGTAATAGCTGCAACACTGCTGTTACTCTCTCACTCCGGCCCTGATCTATTCTGTACATCAGTGAACCCAACGTGTTTTCTGGCTGTCAAATTCAACGGTGAATTATCGTACCAAAAAAAATCCCTTAAAAGCAGCATGCTTTTGTGAATGAAGGCTCGTAATTAGCAATTGAAATGCCATTAGTGAAATGTCACAAACAGATTGGAGTAGGATTTTATAATTTACAGTATTTATCCATGGGATATATCGGGTGCTGGCAAAGGCAACATTTCTTGCCAATCCCTAACTGCCCTCCAGCACTTGGCAGTGAGCTGCCGCTTCCTGAACCATTAGCAGTCCCACCTGGTTTAGGTGTGCCCACAGTGCAGTGAGGAAGAGCATTACAGATACAGGACCTAGCCCAAGTGAAGGAACCAGCTTATTGTTCCAAATCAGGATGGCGTGTGACTTGAGAGATTTGTGGATGGTGGTGTTCCCCTGTATTTTCTGGCCTTGTCATTCTAGAGTTCAGAGGGTGTCTCATTGCAGTGCCATCTTGTAGATAGTACATGCTGCTGCTATTTGTTCTGCTGATGGAGGGACTGAATGTTGAAGATGATGCCTAGGATGCAGGAGACTGCTTTCTCTTCACTCACCCAGGCAAGTGGGGGGTAGATTTTTTTTGATATAGATTTTATTGTCATGTACTCAAGTACAGGAGTACAGTGAAAAGTGTATCATGCTGCCACACATGACACCATCTTAGGTAGAAAGGTCCTTAGGCACAAAACTTAAGTACAAAGTAGTAAGAGAAACAAAGATAAAAAGTTAAGCATTACCTTAATAGAATAATTAGAAAAATAAACAAACAAGGTATTGGTTAACATTAAAGTTCTTCTTAATATAAACTAGAAAAATAAGAGTTCAACAGTATTTGATGAGTTCTCTGTTTAGCTTGCTATCTGGGAGACGTTAGCTACCTGTTCTCGACGCCACCGTCATAGACACTGGGACCTCCCTCCTTGCTCTTTCTTCCCACATTGGGCCACAATGTCATCGCTGCTGCTGAAGCTGCCACCTCCCGATCTCCCCCTGCTGGCTCCGGAACATGCCCAGGCAGGACCCATTCACAGGCCAAGACACTGGGCCGAGACACCACCACCCTGGGCCAAGGGACAGCCACAGGCTGGGCCGGGCCGAGAGGACGCCTTGACGGGTCCCGGCTTAGGCCAGGAGTGAAGAAAAGAAACACCCAGAGAGGAAAGAAAGAGGAAAGAAAGAGAAAGAAATGAGAAAGAAACAGACGGAGCAGACAAGCTCTGACTGAAGTGATCTACTCCGCCGCTATCTTGGATTTCTATCACACTCCTGACTTGTTTCTTGTAGATGTAGGACTTTGGGAGTTGGGAGGTCAGTTATTAGCCACAGAATTCCCAGCCTCTGTCCTGCTCTGTATTCACAGTAAATATGTGGCTGGTCCAGTTCACTTTCTAGTCAGTGGTAATGCCCAGGATGTCAATAGAGTGGGCATTCAGCAATGAAAATGGCATTGAACATCGTGGGTGGGTGGTTTGATTCTTTCATGATGGAAGCGGTCATTGCCTGGCACTTGTGCAGCATGAATATTCCTTGATACTTATCAACCCAAATCTGAATGTTTCCAAGCCTTCTTGTGTGTGGAAATATCAGTATCCAAGGAGTTAGAGTGAACACTGCCATCACTGGAACATTGCTATTTCTAGATGGGGAGGAAGTATCACTGGACTGCTAATCCAGAGACCTGGGTTCAAATTCTGCCATGGTGGAATTTTGAATTCGATTTTTTAAAAAGTCTGGAATTAAGACTGTGATGATGACATGCATCGTTGTCGATTGTTGGGAAAAACCCATTTGTTTCACTAATGTCCTTCAGATAAGGAAACTGCAATCATTACCTGGTCTGGCCTACACGTGACTCCAGACCCACATTAATGTGGTTGACTGTTAACTGCCCTCCAAGATGGGCAATAAATGGTGGCTTAGCCAGTGACGCCGTCATCCCATGAATGAATAAATAAAATTGATGATATGCCCAAAAGATCAAAAATGAGGCCAGGTGGGTTGAATAAAGGACAAAAAGAGACTAGCTTGGAGTATGCTATAGACCTTCAAAGGGGCAAAAGGAGACAGGAAAACAAATATGTTGGCAAATTGTTGAGAGTATACTTAGGGCACTTCAACAACTTTCATATTATCTTGAATAAAATCATCATAAAAGATGTAAGAAGGCAAGGCAGAATTCATAAAATATATTCAGGAAAGCATTTTGCCAATACAAAGCTAACCCAACAGGACAGAGAGGCATTTCTTGATTTAGTTTTAGTGAGGGTTCAGGGCATCAGAATAACATGGAAAGCTCTGCCTCTGTTTCATACACTGAGGTCTGTAGGCCTGCCTTAGCACTGGCTCCCCAGTGCTGTCTTGGGACTCAGACAATCTGAATCCTGCTTATCTATGTCTCCAGGAGATGAAAACAAGACAGCTGTGGCCAGACGTGGTGGAGCTGGGTTTCTGAAATCAGGAAGTAACACAGTTTGTATTTCCTGGTCCATGTAGAGTAAATCAAATTTTAAACAGTATTTGACACATGTAATTGCAATATGATGATTTAACTATGATTATTAACCACAGCCATCTTTGTAATTCTTTTATACTTAGAAAGAAATGGTACCATTTGAACACCTTTAATCCTTTATTATTTGCCTAGATGTCGGTGCCCTGCTCATTCTCACGGTTATTCACAAGGTAATCCTCTATTATGAGAACATTGTTCAATGCTGTAGAAGGTGACAGTAGCACACAGGTTAGGGATAAATAATTCTATTTAAAATGTAATTTCAGCTGTTGGCTAAGAACAGCAGTTAAATCACTGGCAGTCACCTCGTGATCTGTTAATTAATTCAAGAATATAAAGCTGTAATAAATGACTGGATGCGTATTTACCAAGGTAAATAATTACACACATTTTTGTGTGTGTTTCTGATTAACTCCACGCTGAGTTTAATCTTTGGTAGTTGGTAATTATAGGCCTTTTATCAGTCAGTGTCATGCTTTCTATGGTAGAGGAATGTGACCCTGACCAGCCACAAAGATGTAAACATCACAATCTCAGAATATAAAATTTGGTTTCAACTTCAGATTTTACAATTTTCAAGGTATTGTAGCACAAGTAACTTCTGGGCATTAATGACTACTTTCTGCTGCTGGGATTAAGGAGCTTGATTTTTTTAAAATCACCAAATTGTTACAGTCCGAAGGAGGCCATTCAACCCATTTTTTCTGTAGAAAATACTCCATTAATGTTCAAATTTCCCAACTTATTTAGGATAACACTGGGATTTAAAATTTGTTAATCTCTCCACAGCAGTTGTTAGTTGCTGAGCATAACCAGGAAACATTTTTGGTCTAATTTTATCTGCACATGCAACCATCAGTTTGTGTTAAAAACTGTGTTGTAGAAACATGCTTTACAGTCATGTCAAATTGTTTGAAATCTTGAGGTTCCCATTTTCTTGGCAGTGTGGTGTTAGGAAGCTGTGAATGCTTTTCAATGTTGGTGTTTATGTTCCAGCTCCAGAACATGGTGCAACCAGAACAACAGACTATGCTTTTGAGGTACAAATATTTCATTTAAAGAGTCATGGTCTTTTAGAACTTAATCATTTCATCATTAATAATGTGGGAAAAATTATAGAAAATGAATTGAATTTTACTTGCAAGGCTGATGATCTCTATGGACATTGATTCTATTATAGATGGCCTGTTCAAATATTCGATATGGAGAAGGGGTAACAAATGAAGTTGGTATGGTAAGAATTCTACCTCTTAAATTATACACATTAATAGCTGATTGTTTTACATAGGGTATGCCACGCAGAAACAGGTCATTCAGCCCAATTAGTCTATACTGGTATATATGCTCAGACCAATTAGCCTATATTGGTATTTATGTTCAGCCCAATTAGTCTATACTGTATTTATGTTCAGCCCAATTAATCCATACTGGTATTTATGCCCAGCCCAATGAGTCTATACTCGTATATATGCCCAGTCCAATTAGTCTATATTGATATTTACATTCAGCCCAATTAGTCTATACTGGTATATATGCCCCGTTCAGTTAGTCTATATTGGAATTTATGCCCAGCCCAATTAGTTTATATTGGTATTTATGCTCAGGCCAATTAGTCTATGCTGGTATTTACGTTCAGCCAAGTTATTCTATTACTGGTATTTATGCTCCATTCAAGTCTCGCCTCCTTTTATCTTTCCTTATATATCTTTAAGGGGAAGCTAGATCGTTATTTAGAGGGTAGGTGATTTATATAGATTTTACGTGATGACAATAAAATTTATGTGAATCACCTTGCCCTTAAAGGTATGGTTCTCTCTCTGACTTTATTTTCATCTTTCCACAATAAAATAAATGTTGTACAAGGCAAGTTTTTTACACAGAGGGTGGTGGGTGCCTGGAACTCGCTGCCGGGGGAGGTAGTGGAAGCATATACTATAGTGACTTTTAATGGGCATCTTCATAAATATATGAATAGGATGGGAATAGAGGGATACAGTCCCCAGAAGGGTAGGGGGTTTTAGTTGTGACGGGCAGCATGTCGGTGCAATGCCGAAGGGCCTGTTCCTGTACTGTAATTTTCTTTGTTCTTTGTTGTTTTAAAACATCAATGTGTAATTGGGCGGGTGAAGGATTAATTTGGCAAAGCATCAAGAGCACATTACTTGCTTCTTAAGTTTGTCTGTTTATTCTATAATGCACTTTAACCATTAGAATTGGCTTGGGGATATGCTTTTTTTATCGTGCAGAATTACTTAACGAATTTAAGTAAAATGGCAATGTAGGATTCATATAGATGAAGATAAAAGAATAATAAAGGATCACTCACATTAATAGGTATAGTTTATACACCACCTAATAGTATTTCCTTTCACCCCCAACACCTTCACTGACTTAAAAGCCCTTACATTTCTACTTCCCTGCAGTTTTGCTGAGAGGTCGTTGAAGTTAATTCTGTTTCTCTGCACAGATGCTAGCCGAGTTGCTGAATTTTTCCAGTTTTGTTTGAGATTTTCAGCATCTGCAGTACGTTGCCTTTGTGTTATGAATCAAATTGGTTTCTTCAACTATCCGGTATCGTGGAGAGTATGCGTGGCCTACCTGGCTGAGTTTCTGTAGCGCCTCCAAGAGTAGCTCTGCTGTTCAGCAACTGTGTCCTGCTGAACAGAGCTGAGAGAGCATTAACCCCTGTGCCACAGACTGTTCTCAGCTCTCCCTACGAAAAATGTCTGTCAACGCTCACTTGCGAAGTTTAGACCCCAGTGAACTCTCAATGTAAACGCAATGTGGTGTGAGTGTTTACACAGGAGCAAGGCTGTACATTCTGTGGTGATTTAGTCATTGGCAAGTTCATAATTTTGGCAGTTATCATTGTCCATGGTTCGGTTTTTGTAGTTATTGTAAGTAAAGTCAGCATATGTATATCCAATCTGTCAACAATTATATGTAAGATTCCTGCGTCTTTGTCGCTGGCTGAGACGGATATAGAGATGCTGCTTATCTCCTGGGCCTTGCTTCTGTATCCTTATACAATTTGGATTACTTACAATGACCAACCTCTCCCTTTCCTTTGATTTTTCGCATCTGAGACAAGAGCGAATCAAACAGATTTGTGAGTGAAATGAGCAAGTGGATGCCCTGCCTTAGAGACAGATGCATCATCTTGCAGAAGCATTGAGACAATGGTAGTCAGAAGCTGATATAATGATGGCAGTGTGCTGCTGAAAGTTGGCTGGGGTGAAGAGTGAGATGGTGGAGATTTCTGATCCAGAGTATAAGTGTGGAGGACCTAACTACATCGGCATCGTAGAATCAACAAAAATACTTACATTTCTTAGCCTGGCTAACTCATTAACTGCAACCAAGATCTGGGGGCAACACACCAGTTTACTTCCTCAGCAACTTTCAACCAGGCCTTTTTTTTTGGTGAGAGCTACCAGTTCTTCTCCCTGTAACTGGAGAAAGTATATCTTTCCTACTCCTTCCTGTACCCAGGAGTAATTGCAGCAACACATCATTCAATCTGAGAGTTGACCTTGCTTGAATGTGTGCCATCCATCCTAAACACCTCAAACTTCCATTTGTGCATTGCTCCTTTAAATGGAACTAAGGATGCATCCTATGGGTACATCACAACCACTGTGCAGTTTAGACCCAGAAGTCAAAGCAGATTAGTCCAGTTGCAGACCCGCTGAGTTGACTTTTAACCCACACTATTGCACACCTTGCCCACCTGCTGACACTGAAACCATCCTCATAGGAATATCGAGCACAGTGTTTTAAATGCAGCCAGAAACCCTTTTCCTTTCAGTAACATCTACATTGATTTGCCAGTCACCCTTTCATTTAGTGCACTGATAATGACCGCTCTGAACAAGCTAACACAAAAGTGTAAAAACCGAAAGAACAGCGGATGCTGTAAATCATAAACAAAAACAGAAATTGCCGGAAAAGCTCAGTAGGTCTGGCAGTATCTGTGAAGAGAAATCAGAGTTAATGGTTCAGGTCAAGTGACCCTTCCTCAGAACAGTCACTCAACCTGAAACGTTAACTCTGATTTCTCTTCACAGATACTGCCGGACCTGCTGAGCTTTTCCAGCAATTTCTGTTTCTGTTTCGAATGGAAAATGTCACTTAAAAAAGACCGAAAGAACTGTGGATGCTGTAAATTAGGAACAAAAACAGAAGTTTCTGGATCCAGTGACCCTTCCTCAGAACAGAGGAACAAAAGTGTAACTTGTTTTGTAGAAGCCAACTCTAGTGAGTGTCAGGATGCTTGTAAGTAACTTTGAACCTCGGTCCTTATTTCCTGTGTTTGAAATGCAGACTAAGGTAACAATAGAACCCTGGCAAATGTATGAGCTATTCATTAATAATTGGCTGTTCGCTGTTTGCATGCTGTTCATGTTAAAACATTCCAGCTTTTGGTATTTCTGTAGGATCTTCAGAACATGAAGGCCAGGAATGTTTGTGTTATGACTGACAAGAATATAGCCAAACTGCCTCCTGTTAAAGCAGTCCTGGATTCATTGGTTAAGAATGGAGTAAATTTTAAAGTATTTGACAAGGTCAGAGTGGAACCAACAGATGGAAGGTAAGCAATAACTCATTGTGAGCCCTTGTGATGTTATTGTTGGCCATATCCTGAGTAATACTATTCCGCTATTAGTAATCTCTCAATTTAAAACGTATATACTTCAACTGGGTATACATTTTGAAGAGAATGCCTACCATTCAACACTTTTAGCACGGGCTGAAGAAACTGATTTATGTGGATATTACTCACCACAGTGACTCAATGTGATGGTTTGGATTCTCATCCAGGAAATGGAAAATAACAGAAATGTGGATGGTAAGGCCAGTGCCTCTCTAACTTGACTTGGATTTCTTTCAGCACACCCCTTCTGAATCAGTCCTGGCCTTCCACTCAACCCACTGCTCTGCAGCAGCCGTATGGGCTACAGGGTCTCAGCAGATTTCCCTTGTGTCTACCCATGATGCTGTAGCCTCGCTATGGCTCATTATAAGGGGATGGAGGTAGCACTGAGCTACCATGAAGGACAGGGCCTCGTGATGGCTTCCTTTCCTTTGAATCTACCCCAGTGACTTACTTTGTAAGCCTTAGTCTCCATTGAGATGAACAAAGTCGCTCCTGTCTCTTTATTTCTGTTACCAATAGGATAGTCTCCACCTGAATGGGTGGCATGGTGGCTCAGTGGTTAACACTGCTGTCTCACAGCGCCAAGTAGCCAGGTTTGATTCCAACCTTGGGCAACTGTCTGTGTGGAGTTTGCACATTCTCCCCGTGTCTGCGTGGGTTTCCTCCGGGTGCTCCGGTTTCCTCCCACAGTCCAAAGGTGTGCAGTCTAGGTGGATTGGCTGTGCTAAATTGCCCATAATGTCCAGGGATGTGCAGGCTAGGTGGATTAGCCATGGGAAAAACAGGATGGGGGGTGGTGGTGCTAGGTGGGATGCTCTTTGGATGGTCCAAATGGCCTACTTCCACGCTGTAGGGACTTTATAAACCAAATGGGACTAGTATTCCAGCAGAATGCGAAGGCTTTTTGCTAGTGAGAATGCGGGAGGGATCTACAGGCAATAACGCTAGCTAAAATAAAAATGAAACAGCAATAGAGAGCTCCAGGCAGACTAAACTTTGGGAGGACATGAAATTGCCTGCGAATAAGTTGAGTTATACAGCTGAAGCTGAAGTAAAAAGATGCTTAGAGATGAAGTGATAGGCCTTGTTGCCTAAAATGAATTCAACTATAACCAGTGCCAC